TCGAGCGCCCTCTCTTTCACGCTGCCCGTTTGCAGCCCGCTAGCAGCCCGAGCGTGGCCCCACGTTCTTAGCGCGAGCAGCCCGCTAGCCGCCAGAGCGCGGCCCGATTTTTCTCGCGCGCGCCAGTAGGCCGTCGCCCGTAGGCCCCACTCGCCCCTAGGCCGACGCTCGACCCGCCGCCGCCCGCCCGCAGGTCGCAGCTCGTGCGCAGCGGCGATCGCGCGTCGGCTGCTGCAGCTCGCGCTTAGCCGCCGCACGAAAACAGCCGCGGCCCGCGCGCGGCCGCAACCTAGGCGCCACCACGCACCGTGCATAGGCCCGCCGTCACGCCGCCCTACCTGCCCGAGCCGCGCCGCGCCGTCCTGCCCGAGTCGCGCCGCCCTTACCGAGCCGCGCCGCCCCACCTGCAGCAACTGCTGCTCCTGTTCCTACTGTTACAGCTGTTCTTACTGCTACAGCTGCTTCTGCTACTACTGCTACTGCTACTGCTGCTACTGCTACTGCTGCCACCATGGCCAGTCCTACCGTTCTCACTTTTGACGCTGAGGGCCGTCCGATTAAGTTTGACGTTTGGCTCGATGACCTGCACCTGTTCCTCCAGATCACTGCCAAGGACGATGTTTCCCTGTTTGACCACACGTCCGGCGCCGCTCCCGCACCTGCTGCTACTGCTGACAGCACTGCTCACTCACAGTGGCAGACCCGTGACGCTCATGCTCGCCTAGCCGTTCGCAGCCACCTGCCGTTAGATGAGCGCGAGCACTTTGGTCAGCATAAGACCACTAAGGAGCTGTACGATGTTGTAGTTGCATGCTACTCCTCCCCTGCTACTGCTGCGATAGCCCGTCTCTCACTGTCCTATCTCTTCCCCGATCTGTCTGCCTTTGCCACTGTAGCTGACCTCATCACGCACCTCCGTACTAGTGATCTTCGCTACCGTGCCGCGCTCCCCCCCGTTTTCCTAGCCAAGAACCCTCCCCCGATGTACCTCACCCTCTATCACCTAGTCACCCGCCTCCCTGATTCTCTTCGCACTGTCAGGGACCACATTCTCGCTCTCTCCCCCACTGACCTCACTGTCGACCTCCTCGAGAAGGAACTCCTAGCAGCTGAGAAGAGCATTGTAGCTGTAGGTGCCTCTCGTGGCGACCCTCGCACGCCCTTCTTTGAGGGGTGCTCCCCCGTCCCCCTCCTCCCCTCCATTGCATCTGCTGCTGCTGTCGACTACCTCGGCGCTGAGGAGGTCGGGGCTGCGTCTGCTCCTAGTGGGAGGCGCAAGGGTGGCAGAGGCAAGGGGGGCAAGGGTGGCGGAGGTGGCAGCGGGGGCGGCGGTGGTGGAGGGGGTGGAGGCGGCGGGGGTGGTGGCGGTGGTGGGAGTGGTGCTGGTGGTGGGGGGGTCAGTGGCGGAGCTGGGGGTGGAGGAGGCGGCGGTGGCGGGGGTGGCGGGGGTGGCGGGGGTGGTGGTAGCAGTGGTGGCGGCAGTGGAGTTGGTGGCGGGCGCGGTGGAGCGGTGCAGCGTGGGGGGTTCGGCGGTGGCCAGAGGCAGCAGCAGCAGCGTCCCAGCGAGACCCCGTCGCCCCAGCAGCTCCGTGAGTGGTACTCTCAGCGTGGGGGGCCTGGGGGTGGAGGTACCTGTCCGTACGTTATTCGCACAGGTGACCGCACTGGCCAGACCTGTGGGAGGTTTCACACGGCGCAGCGCTGTTTCTTTCGCCTCGACGACGCCTGGCGCGAGCAGTTCCCTGACGCCTCTGAGCTGCCCCACTGGGCTGATCTGCTTAAATAGAACATTGATATCTTTGCTCTTGTTTTTGATGCTATCCTTGCTGCTATGTATGCATTGACTATTAGTGGTGAGGGTGACTGTTACCTGCGTGTACCGCCCGACCCGGGTATTGGGACCTGTGAGATTGCCGCTCTAGGTGCTAGTGCGTCTGCTGCCCTAGGTCCTGGTGAGGCTGCTGCTCTAGGTGCTAGTGAGTCTGCTGCTCCAGGTGCTCGTGCGTCTGCGCCTGCTGGTACTGCGTCTACTGAGGCACTACACACCTTCACACTAGACTCGGGTGCTTCCCGCTGTTTCTTTCGTGACCGCACTATCCTTGAGCAGCTAGCTCGGCCGGTTGCTGTCTCCCTCGCTGACCCCTCTGGGGGCCCGGTCCTTGCGACCTCCTCCACTGTTCTCCCTTCTCCTGCGGCTCCGGCCGGCACCCTGTCGGGTCTTTACCTCCCCTCGTTCTCTACGAACTTGGTGGCGGGCTCTGCTCTCCAGGACGGGGGTGTTCACCAGTTCACCCCTGCCTATGAGCGGGTGACCCACTGTACGTGTGCTCGGACGGGTCGCCACCTGGCTACCTTCACTCGGCAGCCGGGGTCAGACCTGTACACACTGACCACTGAGTCCCCTCAGGTCGCTGCGTCTGCGTCTGCGTCAGGTCAGCTGTCTGCCCCCTGCTCGTGTCGCACCCTGTCGCACCAGACGGTTTTCTGGCACCACCGCCTTGGTCACCCCTCAGTGCAGCGCCTTCGTGGCATGCACTCCCGGTACCTTGTCTCTGGTCTTCCCAGGGTTCTCCCTCCCCTCCCACCCTCGCCTGCTCCTCCCTGTCTTCCCTGTGTCGAGGGGCGGCAGCGCGCCACTCCTCACTCCTCCTCGTTCCCTCCCACAGAGGCTCCCCTGCAGACTCTCCACCTGGACGTGTGGGGCCCAGCCCGCGTCCGTGGACAGGGCCACGAGCGGTACTTCCTGCTGGTCGTCGACGACTACACGCGCTACACCACGGTCTTCCCCTTGCGCACCAAGGGTGAGGTCCCTGATGTTTTGATCCCTTGGATCCGCGCTGCTCGTCTCCAGCTCCGCAAGCGGTTCCAGTCGGACTTTCCCGTCCTGCGTCTGCACTCTGACAGGGGTGGTGAGTTTTCCTCCGACCTCTTGGCAGCCTTCTGTGCGGAGCACGGCATCCGCCAGACGTTCACACTTCCGGCCTCTCCACAGCAGAATGGGGTTGCTGAGCACCGCATTGGCTTAGTCATGGAGGTCGCTCGTACCTCCATGATCCATGCGGCTGCCCCCCATTTCCTGTGGCCGTTTGCAGTGCAGTACGCTGCGCATCAGCTCAACCTCTGGCCCCGTGTCTCTGCTCCGGAGACCTCGCCCACACTGCGTTGGACGGGGGAGGTTGGCGATGCGTCGGTGTTCCGGGTCTGGGGATGTCGAGCCATTGTCTGCGATACGTCCGCGGACAAGCTCTCCTCCCGTGTCGTTCCCAGTGTCTTCCTTGGCTTTGTCCCTGACGCGCCTGGCTGGCAGTTTTACCACCCCACCTCGCGCCGTGTCTTCCCCTCTCAGGACGTCACTTTTGACGAGTCGGTACCCTTTTACCGTCTCTTCCCCTACCGCACTGCGCCGCTTCCCCCCCCCGCCGCTCTTCCTCACCCCAGGTGTCCCTTCGGTAGACCCCCTTCCTCCCCAGGGTCCTGCTCCCTCAGGTGTTTCCCAGGTAGACCCGGTCGAGCCTGACGAGGTAGCTGTCGACTCTTGTCCTTCGAGGGGTGCTGAGTCTGGGGGTGCTGAGCCTGGGGGTACTGAGACTGGGGGTGCTGAGCCTGGGGGTGCTGAGACTGGGGGTGCTGAGCCTGGGGGTGCTGCGACTGGGGGTGCTGAGCCTGGGGGAGCTGAGACTGACTGTGCTGCGTCTGGTGGCACTCCCTCTTCACAGCAGCTGCGTGAGTGGTACTCTCAGCGTTGCAGCCTCCGGCGTGGGGCTGCTGGAGCTGAAGGTTCTGCCGGAGCTGGAGCTGGAGGTGCTGGCGCTGGAGGTTCTGGAGCTGCTGAGGGTGCTGGCGCTGGAGGTTCTGGAGCTGCTGGAGGTGCTGGCGCTGGTGGCGCTGGCGCTGGAGGTTCTGGAGCTGCTGAGGGTGCTGGTGCTGGAGGTTCTGGAGCTGCTGCGGGTGCTGGCGCTGAGGGTTCTGAGTCTGCTGTTGCGCGGTCTCCTTGGAGTAGCCGCCTTCGTCCGCGTGTGCCTCTCACGTCACAGCAGCTCCACGACTGGTACGGTCGCCGTCAGGGTCGCGCTTCTGGAGCTCGGAGTTCTGCCGCTGGAGGTGCTGCTGCTGACGTTGCTGGAGCTGGGAGTGGTACTAGTCCTTTGTCTACTGGAATTGCTGGTCCCGGAGGTGCTCGTCCTGGAGGTACTGGAGCTGCTGGGGCTGGAGGTGCTGAGCCTGCGGGTGCCACTGCTGGAGATACTGCAGCTGAAGACCCTGGGTCTGGGGGTGCTGCTGCTGGAGACACTTAGGCTGGGGACCCTGGGACTCAAGGTGCCGGCTCTGGGGGTGCTGCTGCTGGAGCTGCTGGAGGTGCTGGAGCTGCTGGTGCTGGTGACGCTGCGCCGACACGACTGTTCTTCACTCCGCCGTCTCCGTCGTCTCAGCCACCGCCTGACACTGTACTTCGTCAGGTTCTTACCCTCCCGTCTTCTACTGGTCTTTCGTTACAGCCTGGCTCACCGCTGCCTGCTCCTTCCCCTTACACTGAGCAGGCAGGAGGTCTTGCTGAGCGTCGTGAGCCTGCGTCGCGTCCTGTCTCGCCTGTTCGTTCTGGTCGTACCAGTCGTCGTGTTCCTCGTCCGCGTTCGCCGGCTGTCCCCAGCGCGCACCTCGTCGTCCGTCGTCCTTTCTCTGCTCCGCAGTCTGTTCCTCTGCCGTCTCCTCCTGCGTCCTCTCTGCCTGACGTTGCGGACCCTGAGTCTGACCGGTTTCGTGCTGCGCACCCTACTGTCACGCGTCTGTTAGCCACAGTTGTCACTGACCCGTCGTTTGAGTCCACTGCTGCGTCTGCCTTGGTCGCTGAGCTTGTTGCCTTTGCTGCTGCCTGTCGTCTAAACTACGCCTCTGTCTGTCCTCCGTCCGTCGGGGGTGAGTGTGCTCTTGGCACGGACGTCCTTGAGGACAGGCAGGAGGAGTTTGAGTGCTTTGCCGCTGCTGTACCTCATCTCGTGTCCATGCTGATTGCACCTGAGGGAGACCCGGATGCACCAGACATCCCGACCCCGCGCTCTTACGCTGAGGCGATCGCGGGTGAGTACTCCTCTCAGTGGCAGGCAGCCATGGATGCAGAGATGGCATCCTGGAAGTCCACTGGCACCTACGTCGACGAGGTTCCCCCTCCTGGGGCGAACATCGTCGACGGCATGTGGATTTTCAGGGTGAAGCGGCCGCCAGGCTCTCCGCCTGTCTTCAAGGCGCGTTACGTTGCTCGAGGCTTCAGTCAGCAAGAGGGAGTTGACTTCTTCCAGACCTTCTCCCCCACCACGAAGATGACCACTCTTCGGGTGCTACTGCACGTTGCAGCTCAGCGTGACTACGAGCTTCACTCTCTTGACTTCAACACAGCTTTCTTGCAGGGCAGCCTGCACGAGGAAATCTGGCTGCGCCGCCCTCCTGGCTTCACTGGGTCGTTTCCTCCTGGTACCCAGTGGAGCCTCCGGCGGCCGGTCTACGGTCTCCGCCAGGCGCCACGTGAGTGGCACGACACACTGAGGACTGCACTTGCGGCTCTTGGGTTCGCTCCTTCTACTGCTGACCCGTCGCTGTTTCTGTGCACCGACACTTCGCTGCCGCCGCTCTACATCCTCGTGTACGTCGACGACTTGGTCTTTGCCACTGCTGACAGTGAGGCTCTCGCCCTGGTGAAGTCGGAGCTGCAGAAGAGACACACGTGCACAGACCTGGGTGAGTTGCGCAGCTACCTTGGCTTGCAGATCACCCGGGACAGAGCACGTCGCACCATCACACTGACTCAATCACACATGGTGCAGCAAGTCCTTCAGCGCTTCGGCTTCACCTGGTCCTCGGCACAGGCCACTCCTCTGGCTACAGGTCACTCGCTCTCAGCTCCATCTTCGGACGAGTCCGTAGAGCCGAGTGGTCCTTACCCAGAGCTAGTTGGCTGCCTCATGTACCTGATGACTTGCACTCGTCCTGACCTCGCGTACCCTCTTGGCCTTCTGGCTCGCTACGTGGCTCCTGGTCGGCACCGAAAGGTGCACTGGGATGCTGCAAAGAGGGTATTGCGCTACTTGTGCAGTACATCAGGCATGGGGCTCGTGCTTGGAGGGAGGAGCTCAGTTGTCCTCACTGGGCACTCAGACGCTTCTTGGGTTGACGACCAGGCTATGCAGCGGTCGTCACAGGGTTACACCTTCAGTCTTGGCTCTGGTTCAGTTTCTTGGCGTTCTACACGTTCGTCTTCAGTTCTCAGCTCCAGTTGTGAGGCTGAGATCTACGCCACAGCCATGGTTGCACAGGAGTTACGCTGGCTCACCTACCTGCTGACCGACTTGGGAGAGCAGCCTCGTTCTCCTCCAGTTCTGTACGTCGACAACAAGGCTGCCATTGCCTTGTGTGAGGAGCACAGACTGGAGCACAGAACGAAGCACATCGCTCTGCGTTACTTCCTGGCTCGAGAGTTGCAGCAGCGTGGTCAGCTTCGTCTGCGCTACATGGCCACTTGGGCCAACACTGCTGATATATTCACCAAGGCACTTCAGTCTGGTGATCATCAGCGTTTCTGCACTTTGCTAGGGCTTGTGCCCACTTTTCCTCACTTGCTGTAGGTCTTACTTGTACTGTGATCTATATATATATATACCTGCATGCTTGCTTTGCTAGGTGGAGATCACTGTGATGTTTGTGTTACATGTATGCCTTTGCATGTGAACTGGCCTTGTGGCCCTTTGCTTTGCTCAGTGAGTGTGGTGACGTTGTGATCCACCCTGAGCTTGCTTTGCCTTTCTTGACTGGTCTTGTGACCCCTTGCTCTCCCCCACTTTGCCTATGGGGGTGTGTCAAATGTTGTATTTGCTACAGTTTGTTTAGGCTGTAGTGGGGTAGTTACTATGGGGTACAACATGTTTAGGGTTTCCTACTTGTACCCAACCATTTTCCTAGTGCACACACTTCTCTCATTCTGACAATAAGCTCATATGCGCTTATACCCGGGGTGATACGGTAGTCTTATTAAGAAGACGCTTCCGCGAAATACCTCATCCTAAGTCTTAGTCTTGAAAACGATCCTAAGGGCTTTTCTCAGCCCAACATGGTATGAGAGCTAGCAAGACTAGATTCGACTCCTTTAAACTTCCTACAACAACAGAAGGCATGGCAACGCAGAAAGAAAGAAGCTCATCTACTGGATCTCTCGGGACTACTCCTACTCCACCTCCAGCCTCTGGACTACAGACAGAGGGAGGTACAACCCAAGGACCAGCTGCTGAACCTACAGAAGCACCCGTGAATCAAGCAACCGGCTTCGACCCAAGCATGATGGAGAAGTTCTTCTCCTTCATGTCGTTCTACGAACAACAGCAACAAACGGCACCTGCGCAGTCAAACAACAGCAGCAATAATAACGGTGTTACCCCTATGAGTCTCGACGGCTCATTCTTTGCTCGCGGAAACCAACAGCCTACCTTCGCGCCATACGAGCCTCAACGCGGCTCCATCAGCGTCATGCCAAATCGATTCATCTTGGACAAGAAACAAAGCCAATAGACGCGCTTCAGTTGCAGTCGCAATTCGCGCACGTACTGAAACTGCAAATGACAACACCTTTCGATGGCAAGGACTTCTATACCTGGTCTTTTGAGTTCGAGCTGATGATGGAAGGCGCTCAAATCCTTGGCTTCTTCGCCGGTTACCTGCCATATCCAACGCATGGGACACAGTACGACAAGCAGCAGTACACGTATCAGTCATTGATGGCGTACACAATTCTTCTGCGAAACATAACGGCAAACGAGCAACAAAACATTCGGTCTTATCGCGGATACGGTATTTCCGCCGAGCTCTGTACAACCACCTAAAGAATCTGTATCAAGCAAACGGCAACAATAATCAAAGTGGTCTCATGGCGCAATTGACAACAGACCAAATGCAACCCGGCGAAAGAGGAATGGCATATATCAGTCGCTGGCGCGGTCTACGCGACAGACTCCACCGATGCGGCGGATCACTATCCAAAGAGGCGTTCGTCACTGTCGTCATCATAGGACTCGGTCCTCAATGGCGCTCCACCCGGGCCATTCTTCGAGCCCACGGAAAAATCCCCGAAGCAGCACTCTGTGCAGAAATCCACGCCGAGCAACAAGACATGGACCTGCACGAAGAACGACACAGGAGAAAGGCATCAGTACCAGAATTCACCTTCCACACACAACGACGCTACAAGAACAACAACCGACAACACATGCATCAAGCACGAAGACACGTCCCACCTTTCTGTCCCATCTGCAAAACATCTGGTCACCCCCGTACCCACTGCCCAAATCAGCAGCAGTCAACACCACCGCCGGCTTTTACTCCAACTCCGACCTGTATAGATGATCATCTGGACATCGCGCCAACGAATCACTTTGGCACGAGAGATTAGGTCACCCCATCAACACAACGTTAAACAACACGATAAGAGCAGGAGTTCTTGACAAAGACTCGCTACTCCTACCCGACGGCAGAGAACTACAACGAGTTCGAGGAACGTGCTTTACCTGCCCCGAAGCCCTTTGTCTCTCACCACAAACCCGAGTGCACCAGCGTACGCATCACTAGAGAAAGTCTACAGCGACATCCTGTACGCATGCGATAGCGGACAAGGAGATTACAGTTACGCGATAACCTTTATCGACACTACAACAAGATACGTCTGGCGCCTCAACCTGCCAAGCCGCGACATGGCCTTCGAAGTCTTCGTCGCATGGCTTCCAGTCGTAGAAAGAGAGACTGGCAAGAAACTGAAAAGCTTTCTGTCAGATGGGGGAGGAGAATATTAGTCACAACGATTCAAGCAGTACCTGGCAGAGAGAGGAATCAAGAGACTCATCTCCCTTCCCTACGCTCATCAACAGCAAGGCGTAGCAGAAAGGATGAACAGGACCCTCCAGAACACCATGCGCAAGCTGCTACGTGGCATGCGATTGCCCGAGAGCCAGTGGCCTGCAGCAATGGACCATGCTGTCATGCTGCACAACTTGCTTTCGTCGTCGTCACTCCCGAACAACGCATCACCGCATCTGCTGTGGACAGAATAATTGGGCAACACAAAAATGTTGCGAGTGTTCGCCTGCATGGTACAGTACCGGCCACACACTGCACGAGCCGGACGATTCTCACAACACGCACAGTGGGGGCTACACCTGGGTATCGAAAAAATTACAACGCGTGAAAAAATTTTGACTTCCACTCGAAGGAAACAGTGGCAGCACATGATGTTATCTTCTACGAGCGACTCACCCTTCAGACGTACCTGGCCAACCTGGACGTACATCGAGACCCCACAGGCGGCTTCCGTGGCAACCGAGCCTTCGCCTCGTCAGCAGACGAAGCTAACTGGGATGAGCAGAATGTGGACGGAGCTTCGGAGGAAGCTGGACCTCTACCCTACTGCTTGGTACCCGTTCCGATGGACGACGACAACCCTCGCGAAAGCATCAACGCCGAAGTCTACTACGACCTCGCCGACAATGGTTATGTTACACCCAGCCGGTCAACACCAACGTCTCAGAACGCATAGGCCCCAATTTCTGACCTGTTCCAGAAGCGGGAGACGAAGCAGCTTATCGAGCCCGAGGACCCAAATCTCCCCCGACTCTCACAGAGTGGACTACAGATACTTGGACTCGTCACCGCCGTCCACGGAGCATCGCCGCCACCTAAGGAGCCTGCCACAGTTCAGCAGGCTCTGGGGGGGGGGCACAGGGAAAATATGGCGCGAAGCCATGGATAGAGAATTAAAGGCGCTGGAAGACAGAAACACCTAGAAGATTGTACCCATCGGCGTGGCACGCAACAAAACCGTACTCACGGGAAAGTGGGTCTTCCGCGTGAAGACAAAAGCAGACGGAACGATAGAAAAGTTCAAAGCACGATGGGTCGTGCGCGGCTTTGACCAAGAGCATGGACGAGACTTCACCGAGACCTTCGCACTAGTCAGCCGACATACCTCTCTGCGAATCCTCCTCGCGATAGCCGCCATGAAGAAGAAGAAGCTCCGGCAAATCGATGTGGCAAACGCGTTCCTCTACGCTCCCGTCGACGCAGAATTTTTCGTTCCACCACAGACCCTAATCAAGTCTGTCAGCTACTGAAGTCACTGTTCGACATCAAACAAGCCCCGCACTGTGGCAGCAGTACCTGCACGCCCGATTAATTCGCATCGGCTTTCGTCAACTGCCCCATGATCAGGGGATGTACCGACTCACAAAAGCCGCTGAGTACATCCTGCTCATCGTCTATGTAGACGATCTTCTCTACATAGGCTCCACCGACGGCATCACTACCTGGTTTGAAGGGGAGCTACAGAAGTATCTCACACTCACCATTTGCTCTACCGTGACCCAATACCTAGGACTCAACATACAAGACGGAGAGAACGTGATCCACCTCAGCGCCGCCAAATACGCCGACACCATCGCAAAACGCTTCGGACTAACGCCAGCAGCCATCTCAACACCGTATCGCTATACCACGGGAAATCACAAGGACGAATCCACTCTGCTTGGACCTGCTGGCCTATGCGATTACCAACAGAAGCTAGGATGCTTGCTCTTCGCAGCCGTCACCTGCCGACCGGACCTGTCGTACTCGGCGAGCCAACTCGCTACCCACCTCAAGAAGCCCGAAGCGGAGCACATGGTGGAACTCGACCGCGCACTGCACTACCTCGTTAGCACACCGACGATCGGCCTAACCTAAAACGGAACTACGACCCTAAAACTAATCGGCTACGTCGATCACGCTGGCAACTCTGACAACAGGCGATCGCGAACGGGCTACATCTACTGACTCGAGCCCGTCGGTCCTATTTCGTGGTAGTCGAGCAAGCAAGAACTAATTGCTCTCTCCTCAGCTGAAGCAGAATACATTGCACTCTGCTCAGCCACCAAGGAATAACTAAACCTTCGCAAACTACTGGAAGAAGCAAAGCTGGCCCAGTTACCCAGCTTCTCCCTCTTCTGCGACAACCAATCCGCAATTCGTATAGCGAACAAGAGTGGGTTCGCGAACCGAACGAAACACATCGCCCTGCGATACTTCTTCGTGAAAGACGAGATCGAGAAAGGAAGACTCGAGCTATCCTACTGCCCCACATCCGAGATGGCAGCTGACTACTTGACCAAGAAGCTCGGAAAACAGAAGTTCGAGTACTGCATGCTGCTGACTGGACAAGGCCACGTCACCAGCAACGAAGGCGATGACACTCCAGAAGCGAAGGGGAGTGTTGGAAACATATAGTTCGCGCTTATGAAGTATCGAGTACTACAACATAAGCGAAACGAACTGCAGCGAAGCAAAAGCGAGTCAACCAAAACTGTAGTGAAGCAGTTGACGAGAAAAGTAACAGCAAGAGGTTAGGCGAAGGTCAAAGGTCAGCGACATTTGACTCGCCGGAAAACAGCACGACAGCAAGGACACACAACTGACTCGTTATTGAGCAGTTGCCCGAGTCGTCGCTGTATCGAATCGCATTAGAGGTTACAATTGCGGTTAAACACAAAGCGGTTTTCTATGATTTTCCTATAATTTTATATAAACCTTGTATCCTTGTATTATAATCAACTTA